TAACCTAAGAACTACTTTTCTTTAATTTCTTTTCAATTAGTTTTCTTTTGAGGCCTTCACCATATGCAATATTATGAGATTGATTGTATTATGGTCATTGTACCAAGAAACAAAGGTATGTTTTTGAAAACTGTTTCTCAGGAAACTTACCATCTATAATATTCATCACATTTACAGCATCTGGTAGGGTCTTTTGGGATGGTATGGGATTTCTTATATTCCACGATTCTATAAGCCATCTTGTAAAATATTGGTAAATCATTGCTTGGTATTGTTGTATTCTTGTGACAAACGTACTTTTTGCTATTTCAATAATTTCAGTTTCCTGTTAAATATTCAAGAGGTCTTCCAACCATTAAGTGAAGCTTGGTTTTCTAAATGGAGCATCAGTTCTTTTAGCATGCTATTTGGTGCCGAAATTTCAAAATTTTATGGTGGTATTCTATATCTATCACATTTTATATTTATAATTTCGCTTTTTTTACATATACCACAAGTTGTGAGTGTACATTTCTTAATTATGCTCTCATAAACTGTATAATTGCTTAAGAAAAACTTCATTTAAAAGAAAACAATCACAAAACAATTAATCTGATACCATTAGCGAGAACTGACCTATACAATACCCCTCGAAACCAGCACTTGTACACTTGTGAAAGGTTGACATCTCTCTCTTGGGCACCTAGATATGTGGGAGGGAGGGAAGAAACACATTCGCCATGATCCAATCAATCTATTTATTTATCACACAATGAAAAGATACAAATTCAATTAATAATAGTAAGAGAATGTCTCGATGCTAACCGCGAAATTGGAACAATGACGGGAATATACAAACGATTAGGATACTATCAAATTCGATCTTTACTTTATAAAGGATCTAACCTATCATTCGATTTAATCTAATATCAATCTAATCTCAGTGAACAATTGTCATTTTGAAACTTCCTCCAAATAAGTTCATAATCACAATAATTCAAATATGATTCCTTTAGTAACGATCTCACCTGAATCGAGGTTTATCTCCTCTCCTACTCCCTATTCTAGCTAGAAAACTTCAACTATATATAGTGAGTTAATTTGAATATCACGATTTTCTTCTTCTTCCGAAGGGTTGGTTGTGAATAACGCGAATTGATAGCCCAAAGATTTCCCAAGAGGATTAGTTGAAGGATCGCGGGTAGATCCGTCACACACTACTGGTTAATAAAATCGCAACCCCACGTCAAATTTCCATGAATGGAAGGATGTGTACAAATGAACGACGCAGGAGAGAGAAACAACATTTTAAACTCTGTGTAAAAGAAAAGTTACGTAGTGGGAATCGTATTGGAATGTTGGTTGTCTGTGAGAAGATCGTGTTATGCCTCTTACAAGAAAGATAAATGGCTACCAGCAAATATTGAAATTCGACAGCGGAAGCATCATGTCAAGGTTTATCGTTCCACGATATAGTTACTGAACGGGTTGGAATCCAATGCATGTCTTACGACTATGGAATTGATGGATTCAAGAAGGTCGTACTGAACGCCATGCATGATCTAAATGGCCTCCTACCTCTAACGTCAAAGATGACCTTGCAGGATTGTACAGCCGCATCACGGACTTTGAGTCAGGAAATCGACTTTTTTGCAGCATAGACTGTCCGCACGATGAACATTATTGTGGCTTCCCTTAACACTGCACCATAGTGACAAGTGGCGACAATGTTGCGTCTAATATCAAAACTGGATACAAAAACGGCACCAATTTTCAGACGAGTCTCGGCCCAACGTGCAATTCTATAGCGGCATATAGGCCCTGTACTTAGGGGAAAGATATGAGGATCCATTAGGTATACTTCATAAGTATCTTTTGTGTGCTTCTTCGGTAATCTGAACAGCCAGTATTAAACTTCTCCTATCTTAAGGCCGGTGTCTGAACCCTAACTTCGGGGCCTTGGAGATGCCATTTTTAACAAGATACTCGTCATGCTTTGACCTACATTGACAGTATTTGACTGTTGCCCTGGCCTCATCACGTTCTTCAGATATCTCATCCATTGAAAACATTTGGTTATGAGTTACTGACAAACCGGGCCACCAACACCAATAGCTCTCACGTAGCTCTAGATCAGGGGTGGCCAACCCAAATGACCTTGCGGACCACTTGTGAAAAACAATATAATCCCACGGGAAGCATATTAAAATATATACCTTTATACTAGATTCGGTTTATTGATTGATTGAATATTAACGTCACACTGTTCAGCTACACGAGGGCTTTTGGCCAAAGACCACGTAATTTTGAACCATAGTCAAGTAACGTGGACGACATCTGAGCTGGCACCCCTCTCCTAACTACCACACCAACGGGAGGACGTTTCAGCTCTCGACAGATTTAAGGTGCATCGCTGCCCTACACGGCGGGTCTTTAGTGGTATTCGGCTCGAACTCATGACATGCCTGCCAGGATCCGATACCTTGACCACTGGGCTACCGCAGCCCCAAAACGTTGTTTAAATAAAGAAATAAATAATTATTCATTTTCAAAGAATATTTTTTAAATAACTTAAACGCAAACTTATTTTAAATCTCTGCCATTTTTTTACTGAAGTTTTGAAAAATCTTTAATGTATTTTTGAAAACATAGAATATTTTTAAAAACAAGATTTTTTTTAAAAGTGTCGAGCACAAAATATTCATTTATAATTTATTGATAGCATGTGTTTCGCAAAATTACGTCATGTTACATATGTGTGTGAAAAATATACTTCAGAATACTTCAAAACACTGCACTTTAAGTCAGCGTTTCCCAAATTAAGGGCACGCTCCCCTAGGGGGAGGGATAAACCTAAGCGGGGGACGCGAGCGTGTCCAAAGTAAAAGATTTAAAATAATTATCAATTTACTGAAAGAAAGCATAACAAAATACACTGACATAATAAAAAATAAAATACACATTCACACTGATATAATATACAGTAGAACCTGTTTTTGTGTGGCCTTTATATCTTTTATTTATCTGTGTGGTCTTTCATTCTTTATATTTTTAAGAAAGTAAAGTACGTTACGTTAGTGTTTTTTGATACAATTGATATGTTACACATAAATTTATTCTCCCCCAAGGTATTCTTTTGTTAAAGTTCATTTATATATAAAATAGTCTTTTAATATACTATAATGCTTATCAATACATAATTTTCACTTACTATTTTCAAGAAATCAAAGTTAAATTTGAAATTTTTTTTTACACACTACTACTTTTCTAACTCTTTAAATAGAGTTATTTTAGTTGAGGGTTCATTGCTAAATTGTTGATGTAGAAAGGGTCCACGGGTGTAATAAGCATTGTGTAAAATTTACAAACGCATGGGTACATTCATTAGAGTTTTATTTGTAATATAATATTATTTTGTTTTTAACAAACATCCGCAATAAGTTTTTACTTTGAATATAACGATATGTTGCTGTTATTGCTAATGCCACCTGTCTGACGTAGTCGGATCGAGGCCCACGAAATTCATCGTGGCAAGGGGCTAGTTGTACACCTGTCGTTATCCGTGACTTTGAGCACCACACAGGCGAAAGTACTTTTTGGCTCGGTTCAACCCCAATTTTAAGGGAGAACACCCTAGAGGTGGCCAAGGGACTCCAACCTCTCTTCTCTTCGCACCAACTTCACGAGAGGACTTGCGGCTCTATAGTACCTCCCTGTCGCTAAGGCACAATGCATTTACAAACATCTATGCCTTTTCTGGGATTCGAACCCAGGCCCAAAGGCACAACAGTCAGTGTCACTAACCACTATACCGGATGGGAGACATATAGTTATGGAAATTTTAATTATATATATATATATATAAGTAACAAAATAAAAATAATCATTATATAGTGTAATTACACGGTAAATTACACATAAATTATAATCTATTTACTAAGTGTAGTCCTTTTGAGTTACTTCCTGACATCATAACGTTTTATTAACAAAGGTATATGCGAGATTTAAGAATCAATGTAAAGGATGTGCTTGATTATTTTTAATTATGACATTATATATATATATATATATATAAATCTTGGAATATAAAATAGACGACACCACTGGACGAAGTACTTCCTCGATGTTCTTTATATTTGATAGATACTTTGATTTTATGGTTTTTAACACTAGATTGCCCAAAGAAGTCATTTTGACTGCATTTTAATTTCAGTTACAAAAACAATTACATATATAATGCACAATTTCTTAGAATATATATTTTTCCAAGTGAAGTAAATTTTTTTAATTGTTAATATTTAATAATAACTTATTATATGACTGTAAATAATATAAAAAGTATCAAAAGTTAATTTTAAACAAATTTCTTTACACATTGATCATTCTTTCACAATGCAGTCATTTTGACTGCTTTTGGGGCCGCGGTAGCCAAGTGGTATAGGTATCGGACCGTGGCTTGCTTTGTCATGGGTTCGAGCCCAGTACCACTAAAGACCCGCCGTGTAGGGCAGCGATGCACGTTAAATCTGTCGAGAGCTGAAACATCCTCCCGTTGGTGTGGTGTGGTAGTTAGGAGAGGGAGGTGCCAGCTCAGGTGTCGTCCACGTCACTTTACCATGGTTCAAAATTACGTGGTCCGTCGCCAACAGCCCTCGTGTAGCTGAACAGTGCGACGTTAATATTCAATCAATTGACTGCTTTTGGTCAATATAGCTATATACTGCGAACATGCTTTGTCTAGAAATATACAGAATGGGACAGATCATTCCCGCCTTCGAAATTTTCAAAAAATATTTTCCTTCACTCCCCTGAAGAAGAGGGCACCCGGGTTTGAATCGGTGACCTCTCGATCTGCAGTCGAATGCTCTACCACTAAGTTATACCCTCGCGGCAGTGAACCTTTGCTTTGCGTTCCGTAGGAACGGATACGAAAATGCTTTGCCTAGAAATATACAGAATGCGACAGATCATTCCCGCCTTCGAAATTCTCAGAAAAATATTTCTCTTCACTTCCCTGAAGAAGAGGGCACCCGGGTTTGAATCGGTGACCTCTCGATCTGCAGTCGAATGCTCTACCACTAAGTTATACCCTCGCGTCAGTGAACCTTTGCTTTGCGTTCCGTAGGAACGGATCCGAAAATGCCTTGTCTAGAAATATACAGAATAGGACAGATCATTCCCGCCTTCGAAATTCTCAAAAAAATACTTCTTTACTATATTAGTTATACTTTTTTTTGGGGGGGAGTTAGGGAAAAAGGATGAGGGTAAATTTTTACGATGCGTGCTCACACCGTCATGGATGCACGCGCATACCTTCACGATACCGATGCGCGCGCACATCGTTATATAATATTTTAACATGCCACCGTTTTGGTGCTATGGGACTGATATTTGGGGGATCATAAAAACTATTGTTATAGACCATATCTGTTGGAAGCATTCCTTCTCTCTACAGCTTTTTGGCCAATATCTCGGCACCCGAGCCTCACGGTCCATTCGGACCTGGCTCATTCGATCTCTCTCTATCTGTGCTTCCAGTTATTATAATTTCATGTGTGTGCGTGCTCATAGGGCTATTTCTTCCATAGTTTTTAATTGTCTTAAACTTTTTTTAATTTGTTTAAATTCACAATATCTTGGCTCCTGTTCGAGTCTCGGACTTGAGGTTTGAGAACCAACTGTTCCACTCGTCTAGACCCATCCAGTTATCTACTTCATTCCCATTGTGTATGGGGGAGGGCTTAAGCACTAAAATATCATGCTCCCATCTTAATCCTATAGGGATTGGGAAAAATTTCACCCCCACCCCCTAAGCAATTGAGCTTGGAATTTGATTTTTGGTGGTCCGCCATATTTTCGTATTAGCGCGATCTTTACGTGGAATTGGCCTCCTCCCCCCTACAGTGCTTCCCCAGAAATAACCTGAATCCTATGCCACCTTGGTCAACCACACCGGCTGGATTCGATTGTTTTTCTTATGAGCACCCTAGATATATTTTTTCAGGACCATAACCCCATTTCTTCACCTATATTTAACATTTTAAAATTATTTTAAAGTTATAATTTTTTTAAAATCCCGCATAGCTCCGAGGATTTTTGAGATTCGTTAATGAATCTCGGACCATAGGTTTTCTTCGTTGAGCTGTTTCATCTGTTATAATTCGTGTGTAGACAGTGGGCTTAGGGGGGCGTTATCACTAAAATTAGAATCCCTATGTTATTCCTATGGGGTTCGATCTTTTGGTGACGTAACGATATTAGAGAGATAGAAGGATGAAACTTTGGGATCACTTACTACTGTATATATCGCTGGGATGTACGTGACTATTTATGTGACAGTTGTAAACCCCGGGGGAGTTAGTTTCGTTTCCTTTTCCGGAGCTAGCACCGCCCCATTTGCAACTACAGACTCTGGACAGGATCGAATGGATTCCTTTTGTGTTTCCTCACAACCACCTCCAGTTTCGAGTTGCTGGGTGGCCTGCTTCTATTTCATTTAATTGTTTTAAAATGACCTTGACAACAACCAAAATACTACTCAATAGGGACTCTTTAGGCAGATGTCTTAATTTTCTCAGGAACGATTCTTCCCACCGAGACATTCAATGTGAGGTCTCAGGTATTACATTCGGTTCAACTCATCTACATGTACAGTCTGCCAAACCCTACCCCCCATGTTGTTGGTCCTATTGTCCCTGTGCGGGGGTGTTTAAATTTTTTAAAATTGCGATTATCTCGGATTTGGCTGGTCCGATTGACTGAAGGTTAGTATCGTTCAACTCTGCTCGTGACCGCCTTTCGTCCTTGACCCAGCTTGCTCTGCTCAAGATTTTTAGAAATATTTTAATCTTGTTACGCCAAAGAAGTACAACTTCTTACGTGCGTACAAAAGTACACTCACACTTTTTTTTCTAGAAGTGTTAATTGAATTATTTGGTTGAAATATAATAATAACTATCAAAATGCAAACACAATAAAATTCAAACTATCAAAATGCAAATACAATAAAATTCAAACTATCAAAGTGCAAATACAATAAAATTCAAACTATCAAAATGCAAATACAATAAAATTCATTTTCATGTACTACAGGTATAAACAAAACTTTCGCTCAAAATAGTAATTTAAAACAGCATTTTTTTGCTCATGTTTCTGAAGGTACTTTAATGTACTCAAAAATGTGTGTCTTTAATGTGTCTCAAAAAGGTACTTTAATATGTCATTTGTTTATTCATATCAAAGAAAAAGAAGTGTGTAACGAGCAGGGGTCATTTAAAAGAAGATTTACCATACTAAGTAAGTCTTATGTTAGTGAAATGTGCAATGAAATTTTTCCTAATGGTAGTACGTTAAAACTGCATTTGCGTTATCTTCCTAAGACAAGACTCATGTTTGTAAAGTAGACCAGAGTGGCCAACCCAAATGACCTCACGGGCCACTTCAGAAGAACTTTACAATCCCGCGAGCTGCATATATAAAAATATATATATCTTTATATTAAATTTGGATCCATTATATACAAACATTTGTTAGAGTGAAAATTTAAAACAGACTGATGTATTATTATTGTTTTCATTGTTTTTCATGTATAAAAATAATAATAATGCAATGATCAAATAATGTTTAAATTTATTTAATTAGTGAGATATTTGTTTCTCAACTCTTTTACTTAGTTTTTGCAAGTCGATCTCAATGCATGTGTATTTGCGTATTGTAATTAATGTAGTAGATTTTCGTGCGTTATGTTTGAGCACGATTTATGATTGATAAATTTCAATTTAGAAAAAAGATTCGCAGTAACAGAAGCAACGTGATAAAATAATAACAGTTATGGGATTAATTTTTTACAAAAAAAAAAAAAAAAAAAATCTTTAAACAAAAAAAATATTGCTTAAAATAGTGGCATTTTGTAAAGTTGTAAAGAACCTCACGGGCCGTAAAATTATTCAAGGCGGGCCACATGCGGCCCCCGGGCCGTGGATTGGACAGCCCTGATCTAAGTGAGTGAATATTAAAGTCGCCCTACTCAGCAACACGAGGTCTTTTGCCGACGAACCACGTAATTTTGTAAGATGGTCAAGTGACGAGGGTGACACCTGAGCTGGTACCCCTCTCTCCACACCACATCAACGAGAGGACGTTTGAGTCCCACAGATTTAACGTGCATCAGCAGTGGCGTAAAGGAGAACACTTGGGCCCCCCTGCAAAGTCAGGTTTGGGGCCCCCAAGTTGGATTTTACAAAGGGTAGACAGGGTACTTGGCGATAGACAGGCTGTGGGCCCTCTAGAGCCCTGCCCCCCTCGCGATGGGGGGTGTACGTTACGCCACTGTGCATCAGCCCCTCTACCCCGCGGGTCAGCGGCACTAGGCTACCGGGCTCATGTCGGTCATCTAAGGGCAATAAAACTACAATAGCTTGAACAAAATATGACAGTTTTGCCTGCAAATATCATCGCTGTAATGTTAGCAAAATTTTCTGTGTGATTTGAGTTATTTATTAAAGTCACGCTGGATTTTTTCTCAAATTACTAAAGAAAAATTTTAATGTCCTTAAAATTAGGTATGTACACTGGTGTGCAAAAATTAAGGACGAAGTCGAAAAATTAGCATATCAGCTGAACGAAGAGGCAGAGCGGACAGAAAGACCAATCAGGATATTAAGTAAGGTGATGTACGGTAGCACATGCGCAGATATGCAGGTAGACGTAATGGGGGAGTGTCTGAGTAGTATAAAGCATGTTTACGGTGTAAGATCAATATTTTTGGCAAAGAGATTGCACGCCGTATAGCAGTTAAAATCACACCGAGTTGCTGCCTCAGCGAGAAATGGCGAATAATCAATCTGTTAGACGACATCTGGATGCTTTTACCCGAGGTCGAATCATTGGGAAGTTGGAGGAAGGCCGCAGTGTGACAAGTGTGGCTGCAGAGTTCGGAATTGCTCACAGCATCGTTTCACGACTTTGGAGACAATTTCAAACTACAGGAACAACTATCCGGGGGTTCAGTAGTGGTCGTCCACGAGGAACCACACCCGCAGATGACCGGTACATTGTCTTACAGGCCAGAAGAAACAGGCGGCAGACAGCGGGAGAAATCGCTAGACACACGACACAGGCGACTGGACGTCCGATATCGCGTTTTAACGTGGCCAGAAGACTGCACGGTGGTGGTCTGTTTGCACGACGCCCTGTACGGTGTGTACCTTTAACGCCTGCCCATCGGAGAAGGCGTTCTCTGTGGTGCCGGGAACACCGGAATTGGAGAGACAATGAATGGGGACGAGTACTCTTTACAGATGAGAGCAGATTCAGTTTGAGTAGCGATTCTCATTGCATACTCATCTGGAGAGAGCGGGGAAGCCGCAATCATCCCTCGAACATCATTGAAAGGGACAGGTATGGAGGTCGCGGTGTTCTCGTTTGGGGACGCATCATGCTTGGTAGTCGTACAGACCTTCACATCTTCGACGCAGGTTCAGTCAACGGGACCCGTTATTGTAACGAGATTCTTCTTCCATATGTGCGTCTTTTTGAGAGGCGCTATGGGTCTGCAGTTCCTTTCATGGACGACAATGCACCATGTCATCGCACAGTAGCTGCCGAACAGCTCTTAGAGAGTGAGGATATTGAACGTATGGATTGGCCGGCACGATCTCCGGATCTCAATCCCATCGAGCATGTATGGGATTTTCTAGGCAGACGCTTGGCAGCTCGTACCTTACCACCAGTAACGATTCGGGAGCTTCGATTGGCGCTGCAAAACGAATGGGCAGCAATGCTTCAACAACTCATTGACACCCTCATTCTCAGCATGGGCAGACGCTGTGAAACCTGCCTAGCAGTCAGGGAGATCATATCCCCTACTAAAGACCGGATGTTTCTTGCTGGACACCCATCACAGGGATGTTTCGGCTTTCTTTTGCATTGCGCTCTATGCTACTTTTTCTATCAAGCTTCTTTTTATCCCTCTGATTTCTCTTTTAGTAAGTGTTGCTTACATATTACATATGTCCTTACGTATTGGGGATCTTACGGTATTAGATGGAAAGCTTTTGGTATTATATTGGAAAACCGTCTCGTCCTTAATTTT